GAGAGAGAGAGAGAGAGAGAGAGAGAGAGAGAGAGAGAGAGAGAGATTAATCAAAGAATCAAACTGACATATGATCTGAAGAAGAAAGTTACTTATGTTATCTTATAGTAATAAGAGTGTGTTGTGGTCACCTAATGCTGTTTGAAAGAGTAAGGCAAAGTTTCTCGGACCTCTAGCCATGATCTGAGAATGATTTGCAGTGGATGAGGTGAAGATGAGGAGATCTAAGGGGAGGGAGAAGTGGATGGGTAGACCCTGAGGTGGGACACCTTCAAAGTAGTAGTAAGAGGCAGAGTGACAGGGTTCAGGGAGCAAACAGGAAGCAGTGGGGGATGAAGTGAGGAAGCCACATTGGGCAGGACCTTCAGAGCTGTATTCTTAATTCTGACCTTAATCCCATGAGCAATGGAAGGTTTTAGAAGCATTTGAACAGAAGAGACATTATCTAACTTGTGTTTTTGTTTGTTTTAATTTCAGCCAAACTGTGGAAAATACATTAGATGACCCTTGGTCTTTGTCTTGAGCCATTTTAAGAACAGAGGATGAGAGCTGCTTGGGGAGGAAGGGTCATCACTCAGGACTGGTGCAACCTGTTGAAGGTGCCCTAAAGCATTCCCATGGGCACTGAGTGGGTGAGTGAAAAACCTAGTTCTGAGAGAGACCTCTGTAAATTAGCTGTGGATTTGAGATGGCAATTAAAGTCATGGTTGGTTGAGATTGCCTTGGGAGACGTAAAGAACAAGATGGGAAGCAGCACTAGGACCAACCTTTGATAGATTCTGACATCTAAAGTCTGACTTGAAGCCAAATGTTTTCTCTGATATGTGAATGCTAATTCACAATAAGGTGGGGGCAACCAGAAAAGAATAGAGGTACTTTGGATTAGACAGAGGGGAGTGAAGGGGTGGAGTGGGGGTAGGAATGATGGCAGAATGAATCAGACATTTCTGTATGATGTGTCAAAATGCATTTTTGATGTCATGTAAAACTAATGAGAACAAATTGAAAAATTAAAACTCTATAAAAAAAAATAAAAAACCACTTATGTAAAAACAATGAAATAAAGTCTGACTTGAAGATTGTTAGCAACAGAGATAAGGAACAATCAGGTACGAGGAAGCCAGGGGATTATAGTATATCAGAGACTGAATTAGGACTCTTTTAAATTCATGTTACTGAAGTCTATCTTCAGTTGATGGAGTAAAAAAAAAATGTATTGACTCTTATAACTTAAAATCAGGATTAACTAGATATGACTTTATCCAAGTTTTCAAATAGATCCTCAGAACGGACCTCTCCATCTCAGTTCTGCCTTCTTTTAGATGGAAGTTTTTGCCAGATGCATTTTTCCATTTGGTGGTCTGATCAGGTCATCTACCGAAGCTTCAGGTTAATCTTACTTGAGGTAAAGAGGATGTATCTTTTCTCTTGGTTCAGCAAAACACCAGGTCTCATTATTTTGGGCACCTGTGAATTGGACACTCATCTCTGAGCTGAGGACTGACATTGGCCCTTCTCCCAATACATAGACTGGAAGTTTTGGAAAGAGTGGTTCATCAAAAGAAAAGCAGGATGCTGTTACTTGAGGAAATAGAGAAGGATCCAGGAAAGCAAGAACCAGATGTCTATAGAGTTGCCAGAGGAAAATAATTCTAAGAAGGAAACGAAGGAGTGTGAAATATTGCTAAGAGATCATGAAAAATAGTGAAAAAATGCCTATTGGATTAACTTCCTGGAAGATGCTGACCCACACAAACAGCTTCACTACAAACTGGGGTGTGGTAAGAATTATAACACAAGTAGAAATGGCTGTGAGAAGTCAGGGGGGAAAAGCACTTAGAATAGAAACAATCAAGCAAAACTTCATGTAAGAGGAAACACTCAAGCTGGGTCCTGAAAGATGGGTAATATTTTAAAAACCAAAGCCAGAGAAGCAGAGAGAGGGAGGCCATCCCAGCTAGCTGCCACGTGAGAAAAAGTACCATGGCAGGGCCTTTGGGGTGTGTCCATTGAGAGCGAACAGTTCACCTTGGGTCTGAGGGCCAGGGGCCAAATACAAATGCTGCCTCTGAGGAGGGACTTTCCTTATCCAATTTCCAAGTTGTTCAACCATAACCTACTTGCCTCAGGTTACTGCCTGCATAGGCAAATGAGGGCTAGCTGCCACTGTACTGAACCAACTCAGATCCTCTGGGAAAGTACCACCCTCTCCTGTTCTTATACCTAAGGGGCCCCTGGGTGCTCTGTGAGTGAACTCAGTGGCAGATCTTTCTCGTCTTCCTCCTCTCAGCCTTGGCCTTCCCTCTGCCTCTCTGTGTGGCTTGGGCTTGCAGTGCTGAGTGTGCCACTGGGGCTGCTGACCATAGGGCTGCTGTTTCTTCTCGCTGACTGCAGCAGAGGAACACCCAGAGTCAATCGCCTCAGCCACAACAGCTCAGGTGTTGCTCAGCTTTCACTGGACTCACATCTTACCCCCCTTCACTTTTTATCCTGGGAAAAGTTACATTCAAAGGGATAGCAGGGATGCCCCTCATTTGGATGGAAGAAATTTAGGTGACTCTACTGTATTATATTCAAATAGCCTCCAACTATGGCTCTCAGAACAAACCTAAGCATCCTGAATCTCTGACTACAGGAGTATGTTCTTCTCCCACTCAGTACAAGCCTAGAAATGGCTATTGCTTGGTGGTCTCCATTTTAGTGACCAAAAGCCAGCACCTATTCATGTAATCCATATCTTATCACCAAGCTCCTAGGACCTTCCTGCTACCTGGACCCCTGTGGCCAAGTCCATTTACTCAGTCAGAAAGATTGCACAGATTAGAACTCGGGGTTGATCTCTTACTTATACACTTGAAGATCCTTGACATAGCATAAGTAGTAAAGTCTTTAATGAAGATCACTGAGGGCATTTGAGCAGCAGTATGCCATAAACAGGACCATTCTTAGAGTCAAAAAAATTGCACCTGGCAGTGGTTTACTAATAGATCTGGGAGAGCAGAGGCGGGAAATGGTGAGTTGTTAGGAGACTGATGGGTTCACAGAGAGAAACTCGGAACCAGAGACATGGAGGTAGCTGTGGAAAAGTGGGGATTGGGTCTAGGTTCTGGAACTGTTCTTTTGGATAAACCATGAGACTGAAGATGAGAGAGATAGAGAGGAAGGGAGCGAGAGAAGAAGGAAGGAATTCTATGGAAACAGAAATAGAGTTAGGAAACTTAACATAGGAGGAGGGCCTAAAAACATGTAGCCCTCAGGACACAAAGATCCCTAATGGCCGCAGGAGCTGGGCTGGGGGCAGGTATGTTCCCTGCAAAAACCTGAGGCAGATATGCAAGTGGGAATCTGGGCTCAGGCCTGGACTCCCATCAGTGACCAGCGGGAAGAACAGTGTCTACCTGCCTGGGAGGCCCCTGACCAGGGTGGCAGAAAGTATCCCCTGTAGGAGAGCAGAACCCTTTTGTGTACAGGGCAATTTCTTCCTGAAGGCTCAAGCTGCCTGTTGCAATACACGGGGTGCCCATCTTTGGTAAGTGGACACCCAATGCACTTGATCTTTCAAGGGATGCCCCATTCACTGACATCTGAGACTCACATCTCTATCCCTGCTCTGAGGGGCTCTGTGGCCTGCCATCCATCTCTTCCAATTTTCTCTCCTTCATGGAACTGGGGGCAAAATGTGGAAAACAGCCTTGTTTATCCAGTCTCAGAGCAAGATGTTTCAGACCATCGGTGGTAGGGTCCCTTTAGATGTACCAACTTCACTTTGCCAAGCATGACAAAAGACCTCTTCTGTTATTGTGCTGGGCCCAGAAGGGTAATCCCTTGCCCCAGGAAAGGGGGACACTTTTTCACAGCCCTGTTTTTGAGAAAAAAAAAAAAACTCTCCTGAGCTGACTTCATGCAGCACACAAGGCTGGGCAGGATGAGCAATGACAATCCCATAGAATTCCTGCCCCAGCTCCTGGGAGAGGGGATGCAGAGGGTTCCCAGTGATGGGTTTCTGAATCAGTATCAGAAACAAACAAGTACGTCCTTAAATAAGCCAGGGTAATTAGAAGGGAACCATAACCATAGTGAAGTTACCTTTCTCCATTCATTCCCTAAGCATTTTTCCAAGTACTTATTTTTGGCACAGAGCTATTTTAGGGGCGGGGGGAGAACATGTGGGGAAGAGGAAAGGGAACTGGTCCAATGTGCCAGCTTGAGAGGGGAGTGGAGGGTGGGGGATGGGCACTATTAGTGTTTGGTCTGTGGAAGATGAAACGAGGCTCAGCTCTGTGGGCGGTTCTTTGATCTTCCAGTAACTGCTAGAGTAGCAATTAGCATCCTTAATGCTGAGGGGAGTCTCTGAGAAACCCTTGAGCCTGCTGATTTAGGTTAGTAGAACCGGAAGTGTGGGTGTGTGTGTGTGTGTGTGTGTGTGTGTATGAGAGAGGAGAGAGAGAAAGAGAGACAGTCTGAAATAGGTTTATTAACTGTTTGATATTTCTTCTCTAATATAGTTTTTAAGATTTGTGGGTGAAGGGACACTTTCAAAGTAAAGTTCTGTTTTGCTTGTTGAAAATTTAATCATCTGAGTCTTACAGTCACAAAGTCCTAAATTTCAGAAAAGCAGGAACTCCTAAAATGAATAATGCTAAATGAAATAGCATGCTCAAAATTCCTTTACAGATGTCCTGTCAGGGGCAATTCTAGCCCAGTGACTAGAGCTGTGCTCCGGGTTTAAATTTCTGCTGGGCCATTTTGAGAACTAATCTAAGTTATTTGACCCCTTTGAGCCTTGGTTTTCATATCTATGCATAGGGATAACTATACATGTGCATAAGCTACTCCCAAGGTTGTTTCTTTACTTTTTCCTCTTCACAAGAATTAAATTAAATAATTCCTGTAAAAAGTACTGGTACCACACAATAGTAGGCATGAACATGTTTAGTGGATTATTATTAGAAAAGACTTGAAATAAAGTAGATATTAGAAGGGGAATTCTTTTCTTCTTGCCATGGGTTGTTGGGTAGGGTGGGAAACATCAGTTGGAAGCCAAAGAATTTTTCTAAATGAATTTAATTTAAACTTCTGTGATGTAAAAAAAAATAATAATTTACCATTAGTAACATCAGCCTTTTACTAAATAAATAGAGCAAATAAATTAATACAGATATTAATGCTACAATGCAGACAAACTTGAGTGCTCATGCTGGACATTTGGAAAAGAGGAAAGATGACCCCTGAGAGAGGAAAAGGACTGGGAGCGGGGGAGAAAAGAGAGCAATGAAAGGCCAGCAGTATCCCTAGGAGTGAACCTGACACCCTCTCCTGAGAAGTCCTGATCCTCAGTCCCTATGCTTTCCCCACCACCTGCCCCCAGTCAGCTGGACCTTCAGAGCCCAAGAGTTGGGGCCCAACCCCTTCATCCTCCACCCTGAGGCCCCATCCAACTGAGCCCAAGTACAATTGTGCCTGTGTGGCCTGCTCACCTCCATGGCCACAGCGCCTGCCCCCACTCTGAACCAAGGGCCCCCACCAGCCCTCCTGAGCTCTGTCCATCTGCTTGGGCCAAGGACTGCACCGTTATGCTGGCCTAGGCCTTGTGTTCCCTGTACTTTATTTCACCTTAGGTTTTTAGTTTAATTGACTAAGCGATTTAATCTTTTTAGATAACAAAACATTTCAAACAACATAAAAGTACTGACTACCCAGATTTAACAAATGTTAGTATTTTGCCATGTTTGCAAAGTTACAGATAGAATGAAAATATCTTCCTCTGTCCCTAGAGCTAACTACTCTCTTGAAGTTGGTTGTTTCTTTTTCATACTTTCATATTTTATGGCATATGTACATCTCCACAAACAGCATTGCATATATTGTTGTTTGTGATTTTTAAAATGTTTATGTAAATAGTATTTTGCTGTTTTTACTCAACATTGTGTTTCTAAGATTTCCCCTATTTTCATGCTTGCAGAAATAGTTTACTCACATTTTAAGTCACTGTGTAGTCTTCTATCTAGGAATGTATGAGAATGATTTCAATTCCCTAATTAATGGATATTTAAGTGGCTTCCAATTTTTTTCTATGACAATGTGACTAACAATATTATGGTGAATAGCTTCTTGTGTACTCATGCGTGGTATTTCTAGTATGTATACAGTGTGCAACGCTTCACCTTCCTGCTATTACTAAACTGCTCTCCAAAGTGCTTATACTCTTGCCAGGACTCTATGGGGTTCTTATTCCCTCACAAGCTGGCCAGTACTCTGAAGTGCACAATGGATATTTTGCTGCTGTATCACCTTGCATTTCTTTGATTGTTGTTAGAGGTGAGCATCTCTTTATGTGCTTTTAACATTTAAGATTTCCTCTTCGGTGAATTGTTTGCCTATTTCCCCTTTGGGTTGACTTTATCTTCTTTATTTGTAAGAGTCTCTAAGCACTCTGTGATGCTTCATTGGTCATATGGGTATCTTAGGAATACTTGGCAAGAGCAGGGGTGATGTTCTTCTCTATGGCAGACCTAAATTAGCTAGTTGGTTATATAACATGAGATATAAATTAAAACCAGAACTAAAAATGAATGCCAAGATTTTTCAAATGAGTTTCTTTTGTTTTCTAACCAAAATAATATTAGGTCATAATAACTATTAGCTGCACTGTTTTCTTAGCTTCTGCTGCTGAAGTTCTTTCCTATATTTCAAAAGTCTGCATAGGTAAGAGCCAGCCCTCTGCCCTGCCCCTTCTTAAAGAGAGGTGGACTAAGAGCAAGTTGGCCATCGTATAGATATA